ACTGTGCGATCACTCGTTAAGTGGCAATTAAGGAAATCATTAACAGTTCTTTGATTTTCCAGACCAGATGACCTCACTCACCACTGCGGAAAGAGTGTAACAAATACTTCTGATGCAATGCAATGTGTGTTTTATCATTTCTAGTCTACTTGCACTACAGGGTATCACAAAATTGTTTTTTTATCAGTATAAATCAAATGTAAATGATATTGTACAACATTTTCTCGCTATAATAGTAACACTGCCTCCTTAAAATCTACTGCAGTGTAAATAATCTGTCAAATATATTTGACTTAAATGAAAATCACAGTATGAATCTGTCTTACAATGCATCTCTGATTCATGTTTCTGTAATTCTGGCTTCATTACACTGAACAATTCAGGTGCTGCAAACTTACAACATGTCCACTACCTTACCTTAAAATTTATTAACACACTGATCTTCTCAGTTTGTCAAAATTACAGGATTATAAAATGATTTGAGGTAGTTGTGACAACTCGGTTGCTTTATTTTGATGCTTAAGGTAATATAAGTGTTGCTTTCATATAATAATACATGGTGAAATATTTTTACTATTTACTTCTGAGGACAGATCCGTGAGGTTTTAGAGACGATGTAGTTTTGTTCCAGACAAGAAGGGTCTGAGCCACAGCTAAGCTCATGACAGAAACATAGCTTAGCCCCGATTTTCTGCTCGACAACAGTTTTTGGAACTACCCAACAGAAAGCTGAGATCCAATTAGCACTAAGCAAATTGGCGCACACAAATCGGCACTCAAGCACTATGTGTTAACTGCTTAAAGAGACAAGCTGAAAGGCTCGTTGATGCATTGCAGACACTCCCCTGATGTCTAGCATGTTAGATATGAGGACCTGTTGGGGGAATTGTTGGCGAGCTACAGGCAGTGAGAGCACAAGACACAAGCTGTGGACAGAGAGAGCTGCGGCGCTTTTCATGCTGTGTGTGTTTGAGAGGAAGAGAAAGTTATAAAGAGAGAAGGAAAAGAGAAGGTGGAAGGTGGACTATTGGACTATTGCATGCAACGTTTTTGTGAGTTATCAGCCTAATAACTTATAGCAGAATGCTGCTTTGTCACTTTTGGACAGGTTTTGGTTTGAACTGTGCATCACAAGACATACTCATCAGGGACTCCTCTCAGTGAAACATCTTGATGTGTGTGTGTGTCATGTAGTGTGAAAAACACAACGTCTTTCTTTAAGACCCCCAAATACAAGACAGAAATTTGGTAGTGTGAAATGTATAGCAATATGACGTCTTTAAAAGTTGTGTAGTGTGAACTTTGCTTTATTAACAGACATGCAGTCACCTTAATTACTTTTTAAAAAGCTTTTTCTAAATATCTCAGTTGGTTTGACACTAACGCATCCTACTCCAGGCTCGTACACACAGAGAGACAGAGGAGAAAGACTCACCAGGGAAATAGCGTTCTGGTATCTTGGTGACGTAGAACAAAAAGGCAGATCCAGCAATCAGGTACATCACTATCACACGAGGCAGGAACAGCTGCACATACCATAAAAACAAAGTCTGTTAGGCTGAACATTAAACAGTCAGGAGGAGAAAGTGCTGAGATTCATGAGTGAAACTTGTTACATGATCACCTGAAAACACTTAGTGCACATGCATAAGCTCTCACTTAGCTTGTTCTCTAATATAACTGTGTCTCCTGACCTTCACAACATCAGTAGTGTATCCTCCGTTGAGCCAGACCCAGTGGCATGCAGGCACCACGCTGATGCCAGCCACACAGCAGAAGATCGCCATTCGTATCCGTCGCCACTCGTTGCTGAGGTAATGAGGGTGGACTTGAGCACAGAAGACAGCCAGGATTAGGGACAGCACTGTCAGCAGGTAGACCTGTCGCCAAAACTGCACGACAGAAGAGTAAAGATTAAGTAGTCTAATCAAGAGCTTGAACATCTGTTTCTTTATCAGTGTAACATCTTGAGAAAAAGAACAATTATCGAACAGTTTAAGTTTACGCATTTTTATCTGCATCACTGTGATACAAATCGCCATCTTGAGTGCACTTACAGCGTTACAGTAGAAAGCGTAGAAGATCCCAGGTACGTAACAGCCCAGGATGCCAACAGAGATGCCTGCATAGTCAAGCGACAGCCAGCGACGGCAAGTCTTCTCTGATCGATGGCATGAAAACAGGTGGTACCCCACAGAGCACAACATGCACACCTAAGAAGAAAACACACTGTACCATTACAGATATATTGCAAAGGAACATCCAACACAAATTTATTTTGTGTGAGAGTTTTTCATGGAAATAAATCTTTATGTGTTACCTTTTAGGATTTATGGGTCATTCTACTAACAAGATCAATTTATATGGACAAAGAAATGTGTTTAAGGAGGAGGATGGGCAGGTAACACATACTACTCTATACACTTACTGTAAGTTGGAATCCACTGGCTTGTAATTCATGACATTAACAAGTTTCCAATCCCATCATCATCATCCCAACAATTGGTATGTTATTGTTGTATTGAATATGTTTTGTTTTGATTTTTTTATTATTATGATTTTTTTTTTTTTTTAAATTTTATCTTGTTTATAATTATTGTTCTTCTATAATTAGTATTCTATAATTATTATCGTGAATGATTGTTTATTCTTTATAACTATTCTTTATATATAGTTGGTGATAATTTTGTCATTATGGGTACTATGCAGCTTTTCATATTATTTGTAATTTAGTTTTATTTTATGTACATTTGATTATTTTATGTCCTTTTTTAATGGACCCCAGGAAGAGTAGCTGCTTCCAGGTGTAGCAGCTAATGGGGATCTCAATAAAATCAAATCAAATCAAATCAGCTGCTACACAACCTATATCACAAACCATACACAGCTAACACAGACACAACTGAAACTGTCTCTACAATGAACCACTGTAGCTCTTTATAATACGATACACTTTGCTCCACCTATACAACAGTTACACCTACACACAGCTTACACACCTGGGTGGGTTGAGGTGAACTGATTGCACCTGTGTCAGGAAACGTGAACCTACATGAATCAGTTTGTTAGGCCATACATACTTTATTTATGTACAGTGCAGATACTCTGCTAATGAAGATGTTCATTGTAAACTTGTAAAATAGTTCAGTTCAAATAAACACAAGAAGTTTGTGCTCTAGAGAAAGGATCAGCACTCAGTGAATAAAAATACAGACACCTACACCTGTGGACCAGGCACATTTTTCTTGTGTGGATGCTGGAAAGACAAGCAAAGTAAGTTTTACCTGGAAGCAGAACAGTCCTATAGCGTAGATGACATAGTCCTCTCTGTTCGCTCCAGAGGCTGGCAGTACTGTGGAGAGGTCGTTGACCCCCAGAGAGAAGAAGAGCAGGAAACCCAGAAGGTGGCTCCAGATGTTCACAGTCTCATTGGACAGCATAAAAATACTACAACAGAAAACAGGAAACAAAGATGCACATGTCAGCAAGGACAGTCTGTACTCACACTAACATGCACCAGTGTAATGCTCATACTTTATAAGTTGCAAGATGTTTACATACAGCAACTCCATCTGAAATTCTGGAGCCGGCTGCACAAAACACCTGAAGTTAAGATTTTCTAGTAAAGTAAGGTTTCCTCAAAATAAAATCCCTTAAGTCTTCTTTTTAAGGTTTCCTTTAAATGTTCACTTAAGTATTTATGGTTTTATCCTTGACTTTGTCTTATACTTAAGGAATCCCTAGACCGTTGCATGAAAGACCTACCAAAGCAAGGTAAAAATAAAAACTTAAGGTACCTCTGATTCTATCTTAACTGCAACATGACTGAGTTTATGGTGATAAATTGGAAAAAAAAAAAAAAAAACACCCGAGAAAACTGTTCTGTGACCAGGAAAACCCGATGGATACACTTTTGATTTTACACTTTAGATCTGACTGACTTAATTTTCGTTGCAATTTCTTCCTGTAATTGTTTTGTTTTGTGGTATTTGGGGATCAAATTGACTTTGTAGTTTTTGCTTTCTCTGATTGTATTCCTCCAGGACTATAATCTTTTCCTACTCTGACTATTAAGGTTTTCTTGTCTTCTTTTCTTCAGCCATTTTTTCACTTACTATAAGCCAACTTAGTGAGACAATAACAGGCATCACAAGCGTGAATCCAGGCCAACAAACTTTTTTACTTAACTAAAGAAAACTTTTAAGGGATTCTGTTCAACTGTGTAAGTCCCTCAGCTAGTCACCCACACTCTCATCTCCTCCTGTTTAGACTACTGTAACTCTCTGTTCATCAGTATTAGTCAGACCTCTCTCTATCCTGCCTCCAAGTGGCTCCTCACAGGTACATGGACGAGAGACCATATCACACCTGTTTTAGCCTCTCTCCATTGGTTGCCTGTAAAGTTCAGAATTGACTTTAAGTTTCTCCTGTTAGTGTACAAAGCCCTTAATGGTCTGGCCCTATCCTACATTGCAGACCTCCTAACCCCCTCTTCTACCCCCTGGTCCCTCAGGTCAGCTGCCCTAGGGCTCCTGGCTGTCCCACGCTCCAGACTTAAACTCAGGGGTGATGGTGCCTTAGCTGTGTCTGCCCCCTCCATTGACTCTTTAAGTCCAGGTTCAAAACTTACTTTTATTCATTAGCGTTTTGAGTCCTCCTGATGTGGCTTTCGCTGATGTGTGACGTATGTACCTGACAGTCATGTTGCCTCTCATGCATGTGTTTTAAGCATCCTATTCTGCTTCAGTCAAGGTGACTTGTGTTTAAATGTGCTTTAAGAGAGAAATTAAGCCTTAAGTGTCATACTTAAGGAAAAAACTTAAGGAAGGTGTTTTGTGCAACTGGTCCCTGATCATTTCTGTATGACTCCCACCTCCTCAGGCAGAGTTTGGAGGGCAGGTGGGCCCTGTAGCCATCTGTGATGTAGGGGTTTTCTTTGAGAAACAGGGGGATTTGTTCGTAGGTGTACAGTCTTATCCTCTGAGGTATCAACACCGGCCAGTGCTGGTAGCTGCCCAGCTCTATGTAATGGGCAGTCTTCAGCAGCTTCTGAGGCATCTTAAGCAGCATCTTGTGCTCGGCAGCTCGTCTGGTGCAAGGCAAGCTGGGGAGGGTAAGGCTGGGGAGAGAGGCACCTTCATGGAGGTCATTTTAAAATTAGCTTACAATGGTGAAACTGTTTTTCCAAGTGACATGATTGAGATTCAACGGCAGATAGCACTGCTAACATCTAGCGCTAATGACACAACTGCCTGTGTCAGTTAATCCCATTCAAAAACGTGTGTTTACATGTTAGCTAGCTAAAGCTAACGGTAATGTTTACCAACTATTTGCTTACCACACACCCAACAGCATTTATCTAGTATTTCACTCTGAAACAAATATGTTTAAAAAAGCAAAACAAAGATACTAACGTTTTTTTAATTTAGTGTCAGACCGTTTGGTTACTGCCAAGCTATGTTAGCTAGCAGTCTAAATTCCAGCTAGCTAACGTTCATGCTAACGTTGCTAGCTAGCCTGCTAACCTGCTTCACTGATTGAAAACAGGGTGACAGAGCTCACCATTAGTCGCAGTCCGACCGCCAGTATCCTTGTTCGCGCAACTCAGCCATATTTGGATGGCTATTAAGCTAGTGTTGGGATTAAAATATTACATTTTGGTAACAATAAACACACATCCTCAGCTTCTGGATAACACCAGCAAACCTGTCCTACTTTTTCTGATAGTAAACGGTGCGTTACCGCCGCCATGTGGTGAGTGTGGAGGATTGTACTTGGAGCCATTCATTCATTCTGAAAATAAAGTAATCTCATGAGCTTTACTACAAAATATCTCCTAAATCCTATATTAAATTAATGTCTCAAAGGGTTAGAATTAGGTCTCTCCTCTCTATTAAAGCATTAAATGTCCTGCAGTGTGTTTTATTACAGTGGTTTGAGGCAGTTCCCAGTAGATATCTCCACCAAAGCTGAAATAAAAAATCACGCCCTTGATGTTGGCAGCAGTTTAATTACACTGCAGATTGTCTGCTGACAGTATGAATGTTTCTCATTTCATACACCAGACTTGTGGCTACGCCCGAAAAGAAATTTAATTTGTTTTGTCTCTGATTAAGAGATTGACCAGTCGTAAACTTAACCAGCAGTGGCATGAAGAAATACTATCTCTGCTTTTGTTTTTCAGCTGAGGTCAAAGGAAAGCCTGGCTGTCATGTCTGGAATGCACTGCTGATGTCTCCTTTCTGCCATCACTCCCTTTAGTCTGGAAGAAACAAGATCAGCACTCCTTCTGGCATACAGGTATCCAACTTTTCCAGTTTTAAATCATCTCATTTCCACTTTGAATAGCTTTAAAGGAACGGATCACCCCAAAATCAAAACAACATATTTTTCCTCTTACCATATTTATTAATCTAGATTGTTTTGATGTGAGTTGCAGAGTGTTGGAGATATTGGCCGTAGAGATGTCTGCCTTCTCTCCAGTGTAATCGGACTAGACGGCACTCAGCCTGTGGTGTTCATAGTGCCAAAAATAAATGAATTTGAATTACTCAACAGCAGTTTCTCTTTCCAGAAATCATGACCCGGTTACTCAGGATAATCCACAGACTGTGTTGTGAGCAGTTTTGTGTAGGAACTATTTTCTCTCTACCAAACCACACCCCACCTTGTGGTCTTGTTCAGGAGTGAGGGTGGAATGGAGCGTGAGATGGATCGCCTGTTATGTGTGGCATCTGCAGTGATGCAGGCGCTGTGCTTGACCGTCGTGGTGAAGAGGGAGCTGAGCCAGAAGGTGAGGCTTTTGATTTATTGGTCCATCTATGTCCCTACCCTCATCTATGGTCATGAGTGCTGGGTAGTGACCGAAAGAATGCAATCATGGATGCAAGGAGTTTCCTCTGTTGGGTGGCTGGGCTCAGCCTTAGAGATAGGGTAAGGAGCTCAGACATCTGGAGGGAGTTCGGAGTAGAGCCGCTGCTCCTTCACGTGGAAAGGGGTCAGTTGAGGTGGTTCGGGCATCTGATCAGGATGCCTCCAGGGTGCCTGCTGTTGGAGGTGTTCCAGGCATGTCCCACTGGTAGGAGGCCCAGGGGCAGACCCAGAACACGCTGGAGGGATTACATATCTCATCTGGCCTGGGAACACCTTGGGATACCCCAGGAGGAGCTGGGAAGTGTTGCTGGGGAGAGGGACGTCTAGGGTGCTTTGCTTGGCCTGCTGCCCCCGCGACCTGGCCTCGGATAAGCAGATGAATATGGATGGCAAACCACACCCACCAACCAAACCACTGCGCAGAGGGAAGAGTGCATCTGCTGTTAGCTTTACGTTGTGCACTGTCACAAGCATAAGCCTCTCGTCCATTAGCAGATGCACACCTCCCTCTGCACAGTGATTTGGTTGGCGTGTGTGGTTCAATAGAAAGAAAGTAGTTCCTATATGAAGCTGCTCACGACAAGGTCTGTGGATTAATTGGATCATGATTTCTGGAAAGAAACATTGCTGTGGAGCTTTTTAATTTATCTATTTAGTCTGATCTTTTTTTCTCTTCTTTTTGGCACTTTATGCACCACAAGCCAGGTGCCATCTGGATCCATTACATTCAAAAGAAGGCAGACATCTCTTACAGCCGATAACTAAAACACTCTGCAACTTACACCAAAAATATCTAGACCGATTAATAGCACTACAGGTAAGAGGAAAAATATGTGTTTTTGATTTTGCGGTGAACTGTCCCTTTAAATTTGGAAAAAACAATTTGATTTGTAATTGTCTGACCTTGATTATCTGCCTTATGACCATTACTTGGTTGTCTCTTTTTCCTATATATATTTTAAGTCTTTATTTGTTTTAAACTGCACACTTTGTGTTCATTTGAAAGGACGAGAGATAGAACAATGATTGGAGGAGACATGCAGCAACTCTGCCTTCCAGTCCAACTGCTACACCCAAAAAGTAAGGCACAGATCTCATAATCCGAAACAGCCATCCATGAAATATCCAAGGGGGATCCCTGGCTAGCACAGGATTAAACAGAATAGATACAACTTGCTGACACAATGACTTTGGTATGTTATTATTGGAGTTGTTTACTGTCATGACTTCATCTTGCTTCAAAGTTGAAATTAAATGTACTGGGAAGCCACAGGCAGTCATCACATTGAATCGCAGCAAACACAATGAAATATTTAATTACAGCATTACACCACACACGAACTCCTGGAATGTGTTGATGATAAACATGTAAAGGTATGAAAGACAATTTTGCTTTCAACATATTCAATGCTTCTGCCTGTAAACATGATATAGTGTGCATTTGAGGACGTGGTCATGTTCCGGTGTTCAAAGGACATGCTTGGAAGAATCAGTAAGCCCCGTCCTTCCTCTTGAGACAAAGGAGTAATTTCCTTTGGGGATTCACATTTTGGATCGGACTCATGCAAAGCAGCAAATCACTCTGACATACCAAGGGCGTTGTGTTAGCATATTCAATTCTGCTTTCCATCTGCAACAGATTTACAGGAACACGATGCACTTGTTTATCATGAACAGAAAAAAAGACATCAGGCAAACAGTACAAAGTTAATTTTACTCAGTGATTTATGACTCAATGAAAAAATTGCTGCAATAAGCCACTGCTGGGTTGTTCATTGACTGAACTGTTATTAAATCTTGACACATGGCACCCCCTATAACGACACTTTTAACATATGAACAAAAGGGGATTCATTGTTTTATAGGAGGGATATGGCTTCCTTTACTTCTGTTTTAAAACATGGGGATATTTATGCCTCACATACTTTCTTTTGTAGTTATAATTAGTCAGCTGAACCATCAGTCTGTCATTCTTTGTATTGTTATCTCAGTCAGTCGCGATGCCAGCTGCTCTAGCTGCTGAATGTCAAGTCTAGATGGCATCTGCGACACAGGAAGATGAATGAATTTGCCTTCAAAATAAAAGCCCAGTGGTGTGAGATATAGCATATAGGAATAACATTAGATTAGATTTTTTTTTTCATTCTTTTATCATTCATTCGTTTTCCGTAACAGCTTATCCTGTTAGGGGTTGTGGAGGGCTGGAGCCTTTCCCAGCTGACATTGGGCGAGAGGCAGGGTACACCCTGGACAGGTTGCCTCTGTATCACAGAGCTGACACATAGAGACAGACAACCATTCACACTCACATTCATAGGAATAACGTTAAATCAAATAAAATCTTTTCATTCTTTATTATGTTGTTTTATTTTGTAAGGGTGTAGGTTTCATTTAAACATGGCGGAGGGTTACATATATGAGACAAAGGATTTGGGGAGCTGCCGTCAGAGAATTTTGATACTCATATACTTAATTTCCTGCATTCTGATGAAATATAATGCACCAATTTGAGCCTTTGCTGCATCAAGTTATGGCATAAATGTCTTTAATTGTGTCAAAATAAAAGTCCTCCACAATTTCATGTATTTAATGGGAGAGACAAACAGACATATTGTAAATATGTACCCCAAAATCTACACCTATGTTATTTTGACAACCTATGGTATTTTGTAACATAACATGTATTTAATTAAATTACATAATAGGAGTACATTTATGTAATTGCTTTACAAACTACAGTTTAAGGTTTTTTTGTATTTACTTTATTCATAGATAGATAGATGGATAGATGGGTAGGTAGGTAGATAGGTAGTCTCGCTCACCAGACCTTTCTCAAGAAAAGAAAGGTCTGGCTGGGCCGACTCTCACTTTGACATTGGAGAAAAAAACGCCCCGGCTGCTTGTATTTCTTTCAACCAATCACAATCGTTCTGGGCGGTGCCACAGCAACGGTGCGCTTGCAAAAATATTGCCGGGGGGAAACAGGTTTTGGTGCAACACGCCCACAAAAATATCACCTACAGGACGCAAACCATGGCAGAAAAATGGCTACATCCCCGCAAGAACAAACACCGCAAAAGTTAGTAAAGGACGTGTTGAAAACTGCAACCTGAGGTGGTAGGGCAGGACTTCAGTGGCTGATCTATGCAGCGAACTTCCGCCCACTCAGACTAGTAGATAGGTAGTTTGGTTGGTACGTAGGTAGGTAGGTAGGTAGGTAGTTTGGTTGATTGGTTGATTGGTAGGTAGGTAGGTAGGTAGGTAGGTAGTTTGGTTGGTTATTTGATAGGTAGGTAGGTAGTTTGGTTGGTTGGTTGATTGGTTGGTAGGTAGGTAGGTAGGTAGGTAGGTAGGTAGGTTGGTTGGTTGGTAGGTAGGTAGGTAGGTAGGTAGGTAGGTTGGTTGGTTGGTTGGTTGGTAGGTAGGTGGGTAGGTTGGTTGGTTGGTTGGTTGGTAGGTAGGTAGGTAGGTAGGTAGTTTGGTTGGTTGGTTGATTGGTAGGTAGGTAGGTAGGTAGGTGGGTAGTTTGGTTGGTTGGTTGATTGGTAGGTAGGTAGGTAGGTAGGTAGGTAGTTTGGTTGGTTGGTTGGTTGATTGGTAGGTAGGTAGGTAGGTAGTTTGGTTGGTTGGTTGATTGGTAGGTAGGTAGGTGGGTAGGTAGTTTGGTTGGTTAATTGGTAGGTAGGTGGGTAGTTTGGTTGGTTGGTTGGTTGATTGGTAGGTAGGTAGGTGGGTAGTTTGGTTGGTTGGTTGATTGGTAGGTAGGTAGGTAGGTAGTTTGGTTGGTTAGTTGATTGGTAGGTAGGTGGGTAGTTTGGTTGGTTGGTTGATTGGTAGGTAGGTAGTTTGGTTGGTTGGTTGATTGGTAGGTAGGTAGGTAGGTGGGTAGTTTGGTTAGTTGGTTGATTGGTAGGTAGGTAGGTAGGTAGTTTGGTTGGTTGGTTGGTTGGTTGGTAGGTAGGTAGGTAGGTAGGTAGGTAGGTAGGTAGGTAGTTTGGTTGGTTGGTAGGTCGGTAGATAGATAGATAGATAGATAGATAAAAGTACATATATAGATATACCTGAAAATGTAGACTATACTGTCCAATTAGAATCTGACATTGTAGCATTATACTTTTCTTTATGGTATCTTTACAACATTATTATTGTCTTTTTATTATCCCTCCGTATCTTTATAAACTATTATTATTATTATTATTATTATTATTATTAACAGCTGTTTTAATTTTAGGTGCCATATGCAACTGTCCTTTATCTGCCCAAATGAGAATTGTAAAAAGAAAGTAACATGATGTACAATAATTTATTAAGGATGTAGTGGTAGTATTTTTCTGCACTGATGTTTACAGTTTAATTTGAAGGATCCTGGAGGAAGTCCTGCTCTGTGTGTGTTGCTGCTGTGTGACAGTGGTGTGCAGCAGCTGTAGCAGCCCTGCCCCGTTTATTTCATTATCAGAGTGCTGTCAGAGAACCCACATGTAGCCTACTGTGTTTCCACCCAGCAGTGATTCAACATGTGAACCACCGGGCTGATGCTGTGAAGATGATGACAGACTCACAGTTGCTGATTTTTGGGATTTCATTTTTTAAACAAACACACTGCTGATATGAAACACATGGAATATGGATCTGATATGGATATGTTGCAAAATCCTGCTTTTTCTAAGTGTTTGCGTGAATTCATAGTCGCATGACGGCGAGGACGCCTCTTGTGATGGAGCATTTGATATTTATTTTGTCCTAGACAGGTGAGTGAATACAGTTTGCATTGCATGTGTTTATTTGAGAGAGCCAACAGGGACAGGCCAGTATATTAATTTAATATTTGTTACCTAAGTGCAGAGACAGTCTTGACTCTGTCCTCTCCATGTATGGCTGTGTTTAGTTCCCATGTTCCTCTGCTGCTTCACTGCAGGTTTGGCTGAGTTTACTTTAATATTTTCTGCTCTGAACATCAGTGTTTGATGTGTACACTTGGAGAAAGTTCACTTTTCTCCAGAGGCCCTCTCAGTGTACTTTGTTGTTAATTATTAACAAACCAAGTTCTTGATAGACTCTCCAGCAACAACAGAGTACATCATCTGGTCTCAGTTTATATGCAACAACAGAATATACTGGCAGAAATGCAGAAAATATAAGCCATACAAATATCTGGTTTACCTCATCCATACACCTCCCACTGTATACACCCTTGTTGTCGTCAAGGTCAGGCATGCTTGCTGTTAAATCTTGTTGTTGATGCTTCGTGTGTGGTTGAGTGTTATTTATCACCCTGGTGCTGCCTGTTTTTGCAGGTCAGGCAGTGTGTTTGGACACTGGCATGAGATCTATGGATTTGTGGAGCAGCTCACCAACAGGTTTGTCAGGTAAGCAAAGAGGCTGTTGTGTCTCTCTCTTCTCCTCTCATCCCCTCCTCCTTAGATTTTTGGGATTTTCATACCATAAATAGCCTCAGAAAAATGCAGTAATACAAAACTTTATATAGCTCAGTTCAAAAACAAGTGAAAAAGTGCTTCACAGACATCCAAGCATATGGAATTTGAACTACAGTCATATTTAAAGTGATGAAAAAAAGACTTTTTATACACAGAGGAGTCGTAATAGGTCTTTAAATTATAGTACAAACAGTAGTAGCGAGTAGAAAGTAGGCCACGTCTATTTCGGGCAGCAGACATCATACAAGGCCACCAACTGCTCCAAAACCCCTCTGGGTAACGGGGCAGAGGGTGTGTGTGATATCTTTAGGTTTAATGAGGGGTTGCTAAATATGAGCAGAATCATTCCGCCAGATGTTGAAGGTGGTGCTGACCACAACAGGCAGTCCTTTACCCCTTCACAGCCTGGAGGGTAGAGAGAGGAAGTCACAGTGGCGAGGTTAGGGGTTCAGTTTTCAGTGGGTGAGAAAGGCATCAAGATTGTCCCGTGCTGTCTAGTGATTCGGGATCAGTAACAGCTACCATGGAGGTCAATGTTTACCTTAAAGGTGGGCTTAGGTGGACTATTCCCTCCTCACACATGTAGTTTACCTTTAACTTGATGAAGTGGGTGGCCCAGACTGCTTGATTTGATGTATCCATCCATC